ATTCAATTTTTATATAGTGGTACTGTCTTTATAATACTCTGCCACTTGGCAGTGCCTCACTGGAGGAGATGCTGATAAAGTATTAGTAATACAGTAGAAATGAATATTTGTTCAAAAGACAGCCTTCCGTGGATTGGCAGGGAGAGTAATAAACGAATAAATATGTGCCAACTCAAAGAGAGAATAAATATGTGTCCTATTTTTGGTAGTAATTAGCTATTAGTGGTAGGCAATTATTTGATGTTCAACTGAGGGGTTTTCGGGTTCGGTCTTAATTGTTTGTTGTAATTTCCGACATGAAGGTGACTTCAAAGATTTTTCGGGTATCTAATAAGAGATTGCACCGGGCGCGAAACGACAGACGTTGCTTCTTGGGTATGGTTCTTCTTATCCATGCCTCGTTTGTCCGCGCGTTTGCATGGCGCGGCTTCGGGCCACTTTCTTTCACTGTTGACGTGTTTTCTTTCGCATGATAGCGCCCGCCTTGGCTCACGCCTCTTTGCACTTTGTTGCAATGTCCCTAGTTCTTTAACCATTCCATTGTCATTGTGTTACCGGCTGTATAACATAATCACACACACCATCCACCTCGTAACGCGCTGATGAGTCTGCCGCTTCCTCCTGGTTTGGAAGGGGCGAGAGCTGAACACACTGTCAGATATGTGTTGTTGAAGCCTGACCGCCAACTCCTCTAGCATGTTTCTCACATATACCGACGCGTCAAGCTAGACACTAGAGGTACCTGGGGGAGACGACACGACCACTACAATGGTTCAAGGTTTGTGAAGAGTAGAAGCTTTGAGATGACCCGAACCATGCGATCTATCAAACACAACTACAACCTTGACCTTGCATACATGTCTAATTGAGCAACATTTTGAACCAATTTCAATTGAGGGCACGGGTTCATTTTTATGCGTCCGACTAAAATCCTTTCGTCTACACACATCTAACCAACATCAACACGTTCTCAAGTTAACATTAGCAAAACAAGAAAAAGAATCCAAACTTGATTTATGTACGAGAGCTGCTACACAGACGACATATTCAGACGATGCAGGGCATCCAGCCATCCATGCATAGTCCAAAAATGAACATCACCGTTGAATCTTCCCGTCGTTCACGATTCGGCTGGTTTATGTCGTCCCTACAACAATTTCGTTTATGTACACCACAATATGCAGACGTGGAAGTAGAAACACCCGCACTTCCCGCTTGTCAATATTCCAAGCTTAGCAAAAATTTCGGTTGGCAGCCGTAAAAAGCTAGTAATTACATTTTTTTAATGTATAATAAAGTTACTAGCATGCTATTTACTACTTCCATTTCAAATTATGAGAAGCTCTAACTTTTTCTTTTCCTGAATCGGATGTACATAGACGCATTTTAGTGTGTTTGTTCATTTATGTTTAAGCCCGCACCTAGTTTATACTGTATTAGGATATCCAAACACATCTTATAATTTGGAACGGTGGTAGTAGGTCTTACTGTACATTCGATCCAAGTTTTACCCGCACCTGTTCCAGCTACTATGACCTGACCTGGTTCTTTGATGAACCAATGTCCGTCTTATTTTTGACCGAGTCGGTGAGTCACATGACTCCCGACAAAAGGCACCACCCGCGTCAGCGTCGTCCTCAGAACGTCGGCGTATCCTCCTCCAAAAACTCGAATGAAGAAGACAAAAGTGCGCCACGTATCGACGCACTTGACCTGGCGTGCACTCCGCCGAGACGTGCCAGGCTTCCCTGACCGGAAACGGAAGGCGAAAGGCGCCCGTTCCATCGCCCGAAATCGAGCGAGCCGAGCCCGTTCCGGCCCGAAAGCCGTGCTCAGCCGGTTCCGGCACGTCCTCTCGATCCAGAAAGCTCGCGGCGAGACAAATCGTCATGGCCCGGGATGTCTGCCCATGTTCAAGAAACGACGGAAATACTAGTGCGCAAATTGATACGGCAAGCATCCACGTACCGCGTGCTCCGGCGGTGGAGCGAACTTTGGGCGGAATGCACGGAGACATGGCGTCGTCGGTCGGCACCGGAACAGGCCGGACCGTGCCGAGAGCCGAAGATGGCCACGCATGCCGCGGAGGGTGCCGAAAGATCACGACGCGTCGCTCCTCGATCCGGATCCGTCCAGGGAATCCGATCGGGAAATCTGCCGGCGGTTTCCGGTGGTTTTCGCCTGTCCGAACCTGCTGATTAAGAAATGTTGTACTAGTGGCTGGCTGGACGAACGAACGCGGCAACCTCCATGATCGATCGGCCTGGCTGGCCGGACAGCGGACAAATCGAGCTTTGTTCCGAAGAAACCATGATGAAATGGGTGCTACAGGACAGGCTATAGTGGTACCGGACAGGCCTGTAGCATGATCACGTATTGCCATAGCTTAGCTAGCTGCTGACAGCTGACTCGTGCACAGGACGGGGAGGTCGACGGCGGGAAGCTCTCCGCCATTGATCGCACGCGGTGGGGGACACACAGTAGGTTAGAGAGATGGTAGATGGATGGTGCGACAATCGCCGATGGTCCTTTTTTTTTTTAACAAAGCAAGGCACCAGGAAGGTGCTCAATTTCCATTGACAGCTTGAAGAGTCATTACAAGGTTCAGAGGCCAGAGAATACAGAGCAGGAGATACAGCCAGAAAAAGAAGCTGAATGGAATAGCAAAGATAGGTTGAAACAAGTCAACCAGATGATCTGCAGCTAAAAGAATGAGGGAAGGGCACTTAGTAGATCTATCTTGAAAGTAAGAAGAAGCGTGAAAGTGTCTTCAATCCTGAAGAAAGCTTTGAAGAAGAAGCCTAGAAATCACAACTTAGTTGAAGCGTCCTCTGAGCTTAGTAGCAGTACACCTTGTGTAGACGGTAACCTGTGACAGAGAAGTGAGCTAAAGCTGCCGCCACTGGACAGAGGTCTGCAGCGTGTGATCGAGTTGAGCAAGACATTATAGGTTGATTTGTTGCCTGATACACCTGCTGAGCAAGGTTGTGAGCTACTCCATTTAGATTCCTGGAAATATGAAAGACCTGAGCATTGAGATTAGTATAACTTTTAATAAAAGAAGCCAAGTAATTTCTGATATTCCAAGGCGTAGCAGGATAGGAGATGTTCTTAGAAGCTACTGCAGAAGCAAGCGGAAGACAGTCAGTTAAAAAAGTAGGCTGCTGCACATTTAAGAAGTTTGCTAGCATAGCAGCACAAGCCAGGGCCGTGGCTTCCGCCTGAATGGGATCAATGGTTACAGGTGCAGAAGCTTGAATCTGAATGTTGAGCTCCCCATGATCAGCAGGGAGAGAAAAGTAGATACCAATACCTGTACCAACTTGTCCTCGAAGAGCACCTGGTATTTTTGAAGTTCGAAAAGCCACATCGGAATAAATCTTCGGCCCCTTAATAATGAGATCAGATTGGATGGATTTGCCCTGTATAGGAATTTGCTGTTCATTATGAAGATTGTTAGTAACATTATGTTGGTCATCAGATGACAAAAGTGCCTCAGCTTGCATTGCACAATCCATACTAGCAGCCATAATGTGGATCCTATTAGGATGCCCTTTCCTGCGCTCGAAAAGACAATCATTTCTAGCTTTCCATAAAGTCCATAAAAAATGAAAATATTCTGGAACGAAGCATGAGGATGATGTGAACCCATTAAAGAAGTAATGGTGGTAAGCAAAGAGTCCTGATTATGAACGAGAGCATCAGATCTAATATACCAAGGATGAGCATACCAGGCAGCTCTAGCAAAATGACAAAGGAAAAAAAGATGAAAATCATCCTCTTGTTGAGTACATCTGGAGCAAATTTGAGGAATATGGTTGGAGAATCTTCCTGCTCTCATACCAGTAGGCAGAGCGTTGCTGAGAAGAGCCAAGCAAACGTTTTAATTTTAGGAAGCAAAGATTTGTGCTTCCACGCCATATTGAGAAAGTTTTTTAAGTCCGCAAAAACTTGAGAGGGAGTTGTTCTAGGATGGGCATGAATGTTTTGTAAGCAAAAATTGTAAGCAGATTTAGGAGAACAACTACCATTCTTCGCTAAAGGCCAGCAAAGCACATCATCATTATCGTCCTGAATAATGTCAGTATTAATGATATGAGAAGCCAGCGGCTCCCGGAAAAGTTGAAAGATGAGTTGATGGTTCCAAGTCTTGTTATCAGCCATCCAAAGATCCCTAACTAAAGACGGATAAACAAAGCCTGAATGCTGAGGAATGAGATAGTCATGAATAGTATTCCAGTGGGTACACCAAGGCATACTCCATAAACTGATATTTCCTTGAGTAAGCTGATAGAAAGCATGATTCTTAATATTGGGAAACATTTTGAGGATAGAAGCCCAAAAAGCAGATTTGGGAGGAGCAGGAGTAGCCTTCCAAATAGTGGTGTTAGGGAAATATTTCGCTCGGAGAACAGAGTATAAATGTGAAGATGGATTATTTACTAACCTCCAGGCTGCAGCCAGAATGAGACTCTCATTGATTGCCTTCAAGTTTCTTATACCTAACCCTCCTTCTGATTTGGAATTGGAAATGTCCTTCCAAGCTCGAAGACAAAGGCCTTTCCTGAAATCTGTTTCTCTAATACCTGTCCACCAGAAGTTCCTGATTACTGCAGTAAGTTTTGCAATGGTTTTTTTCGGAAAAAGAATATTGGACATATAATAAACAGGAATGGCTGAAAAGACAGCGCGAATTAATTCTAATCTAGCAGCATGAGAGAGCATGTTAGCTTTATAAGAGG